CGATCCGCAGGTCTTGTCTGACTCCAGTTAAGTTCAGGTACTGTGACCTCTTCCAACGTGTCTGGCCAGTGTGAGTGGAAAAATAGGCCAAATACCCTCTATAGGGGCTCTATAGAGTTCCCTCCAGTGGGAGGCCCTGCTGCAGCAGTAGCATGAGAAAGTAACTGCAGGACTGCACCTTTACTCTTGGGAGTTGTGTGGAGAGTACTGTAGTGTCAAAAAGAATGCCAGCATGTTGCTATTCTCAGTTAAGCCTCAGGTGGTTATCACTTATGTTGACTGTCCTGAGACAGTGCTGGAAATTCTACATTTTTATGGCAGTAATCATGCTGTCTATGAGACAATAAATTTGCCTTCAACCAAGTGGTTTAATGGTGTACAGTACAAGTACACGTACAGTCCTTTTGTCAGTCTGCTGCTGGATGAAGGCATCCCCCATACCTTGTGGTTTTCGGGTGTTTTTTGTGCCATACTTCACTAAGCTGGTCAGTGCGGGTTGCTGAAGATGGGGAGCTTGGACAAGCGAACATGGATGTATAGTATAACAATGGATGTTGCTTCGCAGCTTTCTGCTGCCCCGTGACAATCTGTTTATGGTGGTCACCCATCCAAGCACTGTGTTCAGGCTCAACCCTGCTTATTTCCGAATATTTGACGGGCTCGGACATATCATGAGTGATTTTGGCGTTGGCGTGTACGGTGCAGTAAAAATGTCAGGATTCAGAGCTGCTTTATTAACGCTTTGGGTGGCACCCGTCTTGAATCATGGGTGGAAATTCTACATTTGCATGACAGGCACCGCAGAGGATATTCACATTGACTTTAAACACAGTGGGTTAATGTGCCTTTTACTAGCGTTGTAAGCTTCATTACAATGGGCGGTAGAAATAACAGGCGCCTTTCATCAGCGCTAAAAATCCTGTAAGTTGTTTTTTTCTTCACGTGCTGGCTGGCCTCTAAGGACGAAAAGATACAGATGCTGTGTACACACACACACACACGCTCGAAGTACACTCGTAGCGTGTCGTCGATGTTTTAGTGCGCACAAAGCGAAGCGTTTTAAAATACCCACTCGTGTAGTTTGCCGCGACTCCCTGTTGTGCAATTTCAGCAGCCCTTCCACCGGCGGTGTTAATAAAAGGGTCCAGTGGATTTCGTCTGGGCCAGGTGTGGTGCGAGTTGACGGCGTGGAATCACGGCGGTGCCCGTGGGAAGGGCGTGAGCGCCGCTTGTCCCACCGCCCCGTGTCCGTGCTGTGCTTCTCGCAGAGGGCTTCGAGTTTGAATGGCTGAGGCCACCGTCGCGATGCACATTCAACACGTCTTGCGCAAAGCTGGTGGAGCGACATTTTTTACCCCACCGTGCATTCCGACCGAAAATCCTGCACGCTGGCTCTTGTGCTCAGTTTCAGGACTTGCCGTGGTAATTCTCCAAGCAACCCTGGGTGTCACGGGTGTTAGACGTAGAAGATGTTTTCATAATGCCGCCAGTGCATACCTATCATTTTGACTGGTGGTGGGGGGGGGGTCTTGAGGGTGTGTAGCCATGCTGCGTGAAAGAGGTTGTGTTGCTACGTTGCGCAGCTGCGAGCGTGTTTGTCTTAATTGTTGTCATCGTCGTCGTCATTGTCAACGAGTCGCAGTGGAGGCAATCTGTTGACACGAGCACGTGAGAGAACGTGGTGCAATCGGCAGCATTACGAAGTGGCTTGTCGTGTGGAAATTGAATGCAGCCAAATACTCTAAACGCACGTTGACTCTAAATGTGGAGGGGAAAACCGGAGGACCTGAAGAAAATCCTACGTGACCAGGGGGAGAACATGCAGACTCCAAATATACAGGCGTCAGGTTCGGGATTGAACCCACGACATCCTGTATACCAGGCGAGGAAGTTAACATCTCGCAACTGTGGCACCCCTGTGACACTTCCCAGCAAACATGCGCACTTCCTGTAATTCTGTGACACTTCCCAGCAAACCTTGGATCTATTTATTTAAAAACAAGACTTATAAAATGATCAATGAGCCTGACATGTACCATTTGTAGCTTGCAGGTAAATATATATAAAACATTTATTTTCAGCCCTTTGTCATGCACTGCTGGATGAAGGTTGCCCCTCACACCATCTCAGTCATAGGGGGTTGTTTGACTTCACTTGAGCATGCCCGGTCAGTGTAGGTTCGTGAACGGGTGGGGGGGGGGATAGTCACTCGCCACTGATGTTAGCCGTGGCTGGGAATTCAACCTCATTGCTGGGTTAATAACGTGGCATGCTAGCCACTGAGCCACTTCTCCGTGTACCCTTGTGCGGGTAGGCATGCAGGAAAGTGTCGACTGACGTTTGACATCGTTTAATACCCGTGTATGGTAGTTCACACGATGTCTTAACGTGTCTTTCTTCAGCCAAATGCTTTGGAGCACGTGCTGGTTGGCGTAGCAATTGGTTTGTGCAGCTGTCGGTCGGATAGACAATGTTAACTCTACCCTTCATATCATATGTAGCTGTGCGCGCATACAATGAAAGCTTTTATACCTTCGAATCTTTTCCCTTTGTGGTTTACCCCCATTAAAGCTTTGTCTGATGTGTCCATATCTCAGCCACTAAAAGTTCAAGTCGCAACGGTTGCGCCGACTATATAACTTGGCGCAACAAAAAAAAAACCCCGAAGCGTTTATTTTATCAGCGAACTGGAGACGGAGATGGTGTCTGTGAAAAAGAGTGACGTTGGAGCAAACATTTTCCACTTTAAAATAATGCCCGCAAAATTGATTTGCGGATTGAATTTAGGCGAAACGACAGCGTCCGTGAAAATTCCATCTTGGTAATTTCCACTGCCCCCCCCCCCTCTATGGGGACACCGTATAAGGTGAGAGGATTTGGTTGAGTGGGACATTTGTCGAAAATAAAACTACCATCGGGAAACGAGCGTTGTTTGTCCTGGCCCTCGCCTAATGAACGGGGCTTTGATTGATTTGTTGAGAATGCGAGCTCATTAGGTGATTCGTGGGAAGGACAACTGCACCGCAGTTGACGGTAATACATCTGCGCTTGTCCAACGTACTCCTCAATTAGGTATTGGCACAATGATGTGGGCTAGGTGTTTATGTTTTCCATAACCATGACAGTTTTAGTTTTGGGGGGAACAAACAAATAAAGACACCTATAATGTTGTACGTCCTGGAGAGCATGTTTGTTTATAGTTGTACTGTACTTGTAAGCGTCCATAGCTATGCTCTCCAGTTTCACCAACCTGTACTGGTCTGTGGAGGCCCTCATCCAGCAGTGGATTGACAAAGGGCTGTACATGTATCATTGTACATATTATAATTGTATTGTTACTGCTGCTGCTGTCAATATTAAAGTCTAGCCACGTGATGGGGATTTTAAAATTAGGTGTGTATGCCTGAGCAAATGAATGCCGGTGTAAATATTTGATGAACACTTGTGGAGATTATAATTACCTTGCATGTTGACTTTCCAATTTTCGATGGATAAGCCCTTGGGTTCTAAAGGTCATATTAAGTGCTTTGAGAGGGCATTGGTGTTCCTTAAGCTGTTTCTCAGCACCCTTTGTACAGGTGGCTTCAGTGGGTAACTAATGATGGATTATCTTCCCATCGCAGGAGGGTTGCTGCGATTTGGCGATTCTGTATAGGGACAGTGACACACGGCCCAGCGGTAGCGCATTCACTGCTTGTCGCAAAGGTTCACCGTTCGAATTCAACCACCGCCCTGATTATATGGCGCCATGGTGCCAAGATGTTATCTCCCTCGCCTGGTATACAGGAGGTCGTGGGTTCGATCCCGACCCTGACTGCTGTATATTTGTAGTTTGCATGTTCTCCCCGTGGTCGGGTGGCTTTTTCTCTGGGTCCTCTAGTTTTTCCCTCCACATTTAGAATCAACATCGCGCGTTTAGGGTATTTCTCCACTTTAAATGTCCACATGATAAGCCACTTCGTTGAGCTATAATTTGTGGCCAGGTCGCTTCTGAAAAAGAGCTATATACTTAAGTTGGCTTTACCTGGTAAAATACATATAATAGTAGCAGTATTATTACAGGTGTTATTAACTATCATAATAATATTACATGCTGTCTGATTCACAGTGGACGTTAAAGATCGCCCGATGTCATTCACAGGAGTAGGCCATTATGTGCCACAGTCAATATTCCAAATTGGCCAAATTCGGAAATTTCCCACAAAATTACTCAATTAGTAGCTTACATAGCAATAGTTGGCCCTTACTGGCAGACGAATGCCGCTAGTCGCTCTTGCTGTTTTGAGTTCTCACCTGGTTAAACAAAATAAAGTTGAAGCTGAGACATATCAAAAATACAAAATCCACGATAATTGTGTTGTCAGTTTTGGAAAACATCATCGTATCCCGATTGTACTTTTCAATGTTTTATTTCCTGAAACTATATTAATGAAATAACTAACACGAGTTCAGAATCATACCTATTTCCCATTAAATGTATACTTTGAAAAATGTTTTAGAATTGACGGCATGGCAGTTATATGAGATAATAATTTCCTTGGATCGTTGCATTGTGTAATTGTTTTTGTTTAAAAGAGATCCAGTACGTTTAGAAGCGTTACAAATTTTTAAGTTGCAATTGTTAGAAGACGGATGGGCAGGGCTTGTGTTGAGTGAACTGCAACATAAGAACTCTTAGGTAATCTTTATTCATACTGGTAGCACAGTAAACGCAAACAATTTACCGTATTCTCTGGATTATAGGACACTTTTCCTCCTGTGTCTTAAAGCAAAGGTTATGGTGCTTATCCTCTGGTGTGTGTCAGCGTGGTCAACATTTGTGTAAATTTATTGACGCTTCGGCACACGTTTGGGGCGCGTCGTACATTCCGGAGTGACTTGTAACCTTAAGATTACAGAAATGGTAAATCGAGTTACAATTCTATATAAAACTGATATTCCGATAATTGTAACATCGAGAAACGAAATTAATTTGTGGCAACTGTGTGTGTACCTTGCAGGTACAGAGGCCGACGAGCGTCGGGGAGGAGAAAAGTATTTCGGAAGAGAAACCGCAGACCCAGGCAGCAGAGGAGCGACACGTGCCCAAGGAAGTCCGCCAAGAGAAGCCAGTGGCTCTGCCACAGCAGGCAAGCGCCACTGCATCATGCCCGCACGCCGCTGCACGCGTCCCCTATTGTCAGCACCGGCCGGGCTGTCGTGCCCGTTACCGTGTTCATGCACATGTGGTCACGATTTAGTCAAGTCCCGACTGTGTGTGCCGCCCTGCTTCCACACAGCGCACAAGATTTGAAGTTGAGCAAAACAACAGCAGACAAAGTTGAATTGGAAATAATTATGGCCGCTAAAGTTAACTCCTGATGAATTCTATTGTGTCTATGTCACCAGATAATTCATGTTTTCCGAGTTGGGTTTGTCGTTATTCTTTGAATGACACGGTATATTTAGCGGTGACTTCCGAGTGCTTTTGAATTAAATTTCACGTTGGTGCAATACAGTTGTGCTGTTGACTGTCACGTGGTGAGGCATCAATTCAGAAATCTCAGAGAGCGGTGCGCCCGTTTGTCGGAGGACAGGGGGAAAATATATTTTTCGCAGGATGTCTGAAGATGATCCTTTACACAGTGGGGTATGCACTTTCCCACTACAAGATTGCTTCGTGACAGTCAAAGTAATTAATTTAATTCCCGGCACTGACAAGTCCAACATTGTGGGGGGGATTTTATGTGCGTGCGATCATTGCGCGACTGGGCTGAGACATCCACTCGCTACGCTTGAGTAACTAAAATCTGGATTCAAACCCCAAGATCTCAGTGGTGCCAGCCCAGCGCTCTGACCTCCGACTCATATCCACATTTGTGTAATTTTAATGTAAAATCAATGTAGGTTTAACGACTGACACTTAGAGTGCGCTGGTGTCTACAATGGTTTCTGCATTATAGATAATACTTGGTCTAAAACAAATTTCAATACATAATGCAACAAGAGTACTGTGTGGTTTTATAGTGGCAACCTTCTACATCCAACTTATTGATCCATTTTATGCTTTAGTAAGTTAAATTTACAAACAATAAAAATGAAATCCATATAGTTGAAGGTGTATTATACATGCACAAATGTGTCCAGAATATTACCAATATTTAAAAATATAAAAAAAATGTTTTATGCAACGATGTTTCCATTCCTGGACAGTCAGGTATTTTATAAATCTGATGAGTTTCTTATCCACTTACAGAAAGTGTTACAATTGGTTCAACACACACACGCACACTCTGCCGTGTTTTTGAAAGTTCAATCTCCCCTTCCATGTCTCTTCCCACCAGCCACAAGTGCAGCAGGAGCCTGCAGACCCACGCAGGATCCTGGGGAAGATGTGCGCCGAGTCTGACCGCAGGAAGCAGTGGATGAAGGCCTCGCACGAACGGCAGGAAGCTGAGAAGAAGGAGCAGGAGGAGGACGACGACTCGGAGAGCATCTACGCAAACTTCCAGCAGTCCAACTATGACGCCGAGGAAATGGCGTGGCAGGAGGCCCGTAAGTGTCGAGGCTCTCAGTGCATTATATGTATGTTGAACTTTTTTCGCACAGGTACGTAGCCAACCGTGCTAATTGGAGGTGCGGGGGAAGGACAACAAAACTAACGTGCGCTGTGTCTGCAATGGAGAGAGAGAGAGGAGAGACGATGGCCACTGAGCATTCGTGCATTGTTACGCCTCGTTTTATATGAGCAGCCAGAGCTGTGCTGGGTAGATGTTAGCACAGGGCAGCTCACATTTCCCACAGCAGCCCAGCCTTGCTGAACCAGTCCCAAGGATTCCCCCAGAACCTGACCACCCAGGATCGCTTCTCAACTCGTGCCACACGTGGTAGAGTCAGGCCGACCACAGGACCAGTTGTAATTTAACGGGGTCATTGTAGTCACGAGACATACAGTGAGGGAAAAAAGTATTTGATCCCCTGCCGATTTTGTACGTTTGCCCACTGACAAAGAAATGATCAGTCTATAATTTTAATGGTAGGTTTATTTGAACAGTGAGAGACAGAATAACAACAACAAAATCCAGAAAAACGCATGTCAAAAATGTTATAAATTGATTTGCATTTTAATGAGGGAAATAAGTATTCGACCCCTCTGCAAAACATGACTTAGTACTTGGTGGCAAAACCCTTGTTGGCAATCACAGAGGTCAGACGTTTCTTGTAGTTGGCCACCAGGTTTGCACACATCTCAGGAGGGATTTTGTCCCACTCCTCTTTGCAGATCTTCTCCAAGTCATTAAGGTTCCGAGGCTGACGTTTGACAACTCGAACCTTCAGCTTCCTCCACATATTTTCTCTGGGATTAAGGTCTGGAGACTGGCTAGGCCACTCCAGGACCTTAATGTGCTTCTTCTTGAGCCACTCCTTTGTTGCCTTGGCCGTGTGTTTTGGGTCATTGTCATGCTGGAATACCCATCCACGACCCATTTTCAATGCCCTGGCTGAGGGAAGGAGGTTCTCACCCAAGATTTGACGGTACATGGCCCCGTCCATTGTCCCTTTGATGCGGAGAAGTTGTCCTGTCCCCTTTTCAGAAAAACACCCCCAAAGCATAATGTTTCCACCTCCATGTTTGACGGTGGGGATGGTGTTCTTGGGGTCATAGGCAGCATTCCTCCTCCTCCAAACACGGCGAGTTGAGTTGATGCCAAAGAGCTCTATTTTGCTCTCATCTGAACACAACACTTTCACCCAGTTGTCCTCTGAATCATTCAGATGTTCATTAGCAAAGTTCAGACGGGCATGTATATGTGCTTTCTTGAGCAGGGGAACCTTGCAGGCGCTGCAGGATATCAGTCCTTCGCAGCGTAGTGTGTTACCAATTGTTTTCTTGGTGACTATGGTCCCAGCTGCCTTGGGATCATTGACAAGATCCTCCCGTGTAGTTCTGGGCTGATTCCTCACCGTTCTCATGATCATTGCAACTCCACGAGGTGAGATCTTGCATGGAGCCCCATGCCAAGGGAGATTGACAGTTCTTTTGTGTTTCTTCCATTTGCGAATAATCGCACCAACTGTTGTCACCTTCTCACCAAGCTGCTTGGCAATGGTCTTGTAGCCCATTCCAGCCTTGTATAGGTCTACAATCTTGTCCCTGACATACTTGGAGAGCTCTTTGGTCTTGGCCATGGTGGAGAGTTTGGAATGTGATTGATTGATTGCTTCTGTGGACAGAAATCTTTCTGATTGAGAGGGGGCCAAATACTTATTTCCCTCATTAAAATGCAAATCAATTCATAAATTTTTTGACATGCGTTTTTTCTAGATTTTTTTGTTGTTATTCTGTCACTCACTGTTCAAATAAACCTACCATTAAAATTATAGACTGATCATTTCTTTGTCAGTGGGCAAACGTACAAAATCAGCAGGGGATCAAATACTTTTTTCCCTCACTGTATGTGTCATGATGTCATTTGCCATTTTAACTTCCCCCACCGTGTGTGTACAAAAAAATGTAGCCAAGCAATTGCAAACATTTTTATTGTTTGAGTTCGTATCGTGTAACACGGTTATTTATTACATTAAACTTCGATAACAATATTTTTTAAAGATGTCTCCCCGACCGGCGCCCACTTGCTGGCCACGGAGAGCAAGGAGGGAAAGATGTTGTGGAGATGGAGCGTTTAGGGCTGAGCTCCTGGAGCTTCTTGACTTGTGGACCAAGGGGACATGGATCCAGGCTCTGGTGCTGCCTCTGGTCATTACTGGCCGTTACAGCGCTGACAGAGACCTCTTCTTAGTGGTCATGGAAACAAAGCTCGAGTTTAATTGGGTGCTGCAGTCTCTGAAGGAAGGGTTGCAATCTGCGGGCTGGATCTAAAGATAGGACAGATATGCTGGCTGGCTCTAGAGAGAGAGGGTAGCGATGTGGTGGCTGACCCTAGAGATAGGGCAGCAATGTGCTGGATGGCTCTAGAGAGAGAGGGTAGCGATGTGCTGGCTGGGTCTAGAGATTGGGCAGAAATGTGCTGGATGGCTCTCGAGAGATAGGACAGCGATGTGGTGGCTGGATCTAGAGAGAGATAGAGCAGCAATGTGCTGGATGGCTCTAGATAGAGGGAGTGCAGTGATGTGCTGAATGGATCAAGAGATAGGGCAGAGATGTGCTGGCTGGCTAGAGAGAGAACGGGCAGCAATCTACTGGATGGCTCTAGAGAAAGGGCAGCAATGTACTGGATGGCTCAAGAGAAAGGGCAGCGATGTGCTGGCTGACTCTAGAGAGAGATAGGGCAGAGATGTGTGCTGGCTTTAGATAAAGGCGAGCGGGTTACTGGCCACATAAGGGATATTGTGTCACTTTGGCATTCGTTATTTGAAAACCTAATGTCCACGACCATGCTGCCGTTTCCATGGAGAATGCTCGGACGCATCTGGAATGAGTTGGAATGTTTACTTTACATTTGGCTTTGCAGGAGGTGTGGATATTTATGTAGCCGTGCATGGGTGACATTTTGCAGGGGGTAGTGGGGAGCCCAGCGGTGAAGTGTGTGAGGAAGTGCACGCAGTGGAGTAGCTATCGAGTCTGCAGAGGGCCCCGTTTCATTCCTCACACCAAGGGCCCATGTCAACCAGTGCAGGTGTACTTTCTAATGACTAAACTAAAATCTGCTCTTCCAGCAGTGCTGATGTCAACACATATTTGGTGTTAAAAGTTAAAAAAAGTTATTTTTTACAACCGGTCAAAAGTTTGCCTGCTAAAACAAATGCTGCTGGAATGTATTATTCTAGAAAGAAAATGTGAAACAGACTTTTGTTTCATCATCATTAGACCTCCTTTGCCAGTACCAAAATATAATAATAGTGTTTTTCCCCTTTTTTATGGCAACAAAACTGAAACCTTTTTACGAGGATTCATGTCTGCATTAACCACAATACCTGCAGTCAAAATGCAAACAAAAAACATACTATGATAATATATGCATTGGTCCATACCTTGGTGTCCACACCTTGGTGTCCACACCTTGGTGTGGACCAATCAGGGAAGGAGGTTCTCACCCAAGATTTGACGGTACATGGCCCCGTCCGTCGTCCCTTTGATGCAGTGAAGTTGTCCTGTCCCCTTACCAGAAAAACACCGCCAAAGCATAATGTTTCCACCTCCATGTTTGACGGTGGGGATGGTGTTCTTGGGGTCATAGGCAGCATTCCTCCTCCTCCAAACACGGCAAGTTGAGTTGATGCCAAAGAGCTCCATTTTGGTCTCATCTGACCACAACACTTTCACCCAGTTGTCCTCTGAATCATTCAGATGTTCATTGGCAAACTTCAGACGGGCATGTATATGTGCTTTTTTGAGCAGATGGACCTTGCGGGCGCTGCAGGATTTCAGTCCTTCACGGCGTAGTGTGTTACCAATTGTTAAAAGGTTTCAGTTTTGTTGCCAGAAAAAAGTGGAAAACCCTATTATTAGATTTTTGTTTACTTAGCTTTTTATTGTTTCCTCTTCACCGCATACATATTCCTATTGGTGCTATTGGCATCTTGTCATCTTTGTGCCACTGTGTGTAGATTATACCCCATAGACCATTAATTGAATATGCCCCATCATTTAGGTATCGTTTATACACTGGAGTTGCAATTGTCATTGCAACTGTTTGACACCATGTGTCACAAAGTTAATTCCCGAGGAAGATGACAAAATATGACATCACAGAACAACATCTGAAGTCCCTCCCACACCAGAGACGCCTATTAATGCCCTGCAAAATATGTTATGCATATAATTGAAGCTGAATTTTGTTATATCTCTGAGCCAGAATAAGCCAAAAATAAGTAGCAAAAAATTTGCAAATGATTGGGTTTTTTTGTCATCTGTTGTGGACCAGATAAAACCCTCCGCTTACTGCATTTGAGAACACGCGTTAATTGCAACAGTAACAGACGTTTTCTTGTCAGCCAATTCTTTAACAGGACACTGGCAACAACTCTATCTCTCAGTGGTGTTGTTTATGGAATTATGTTGATGATACCCGGATCCGGACCCAGGATCCCAGCAGTGTTGGTTCAGTGCTCTGGCCGCTGAGCAATACTTCATTATTTTATCATTTAATTACCTACAAAACTTTCGTGACTGCAGTGATTCATATTCTTGGTTCTTTCGGTAAAGTCACGTTGAAGTGAGAATTTTATTGTTATATATATTTTATTATTTTATTGTTTCCCTTCAACATGACTTTACCGAAAGAACCAAGAATATGTACCTACAAAACGTCAATACTTTTGTGCACACGAATGTTGAACGTCTTTCGCACTGTACGAAGCCAACCGTGCTAATCGTAGATGCACGGCACACGTTGTACAACATCGCAGCCAGAGTTTATTTTCTTCAATAAAATAGCCACGTTTCATCGCTTTAATGTTTGTGGGATACGGGCAGATGCTTGGACTTACCTTGCAGCCTTGTAGCAACAACACTGTCGAGAGAGCTGTTTCCAGAGTCCGGTTACACGGCTTGGCCAATAGGGACACCTGGCAATTTGTTGTATTTAAACAGCAACCTTTCTCCGTTGCTGTGCTTGCAGATTGCAGCAATTCTTGGTGTTTGTTCAAGTGACCTCTAGCAGAGATGCTTGGATTAAATGACCACTATTTTTTCACCTGATGACGATTGCTTGTGTTGCGATCGAAACGTAGTGATATTTCTTTTATTAGTTTTTCTGTCTACGTGGCTTTACCGAAATACCCAAAGAATATATATGACCACACTTAAAAAAAAATCTACCTGGCTTTGCATAGTTTTAGATGGAGTAACACAGTGTGCTTTGCATTACAGCTATTGTGCGGGTCCTCTGATTATGCTTTGTGCCGCTGGGTCACTCGTTAAAATATTGAGCAATTGTTTTATTTTGCATTATTGATTGTTCTAGCTTAAGGACATTCAAAGGAACCTCATAGAAGCGGCAACAATGGGAATACATATAATGAATTGGTTTGTCATTAAAGTGGTTCAAAGCATTCAGTAGCGTAGCAGCATAATTAAATGTGTGTACCAGTGACTCACGGTTAAAATCGAGCAAATGACAGCAGCGACTGTCGATGCTCAAAGACATTTATGGGAGCCTCATTGAAGAGACAATGGGGGGAACAATGTAATTTAATTAACCAGAATTGTGTTTAAAATTGCACACTCAGCAGTGTAGCCGCTTGGAGAGGTAAAATTAATTGCAGATTCAGAGTTCACCTTTTGACCCTGACCAAACATGACACTGTAATGAACCGTGGGGAATGAAGTGTAGTGCTGTAGGAAGGGTTGGGCCTGCCACCTGTTCACCAGATGCTTAGCGTGGCTCCTGATCGACAGCTATTGATAAGAATAAGGGGTGGGCCATATGCTGTGGCACTGAGGCCCGCTTAACAAACAAGGGACTCACCTTCCAAGGGAAGTAGTGTTGGGGGTCGTTGGTTGGTGGCGGTGGTGATGATGTGCGTGAGTTTCTTTTCATGCACTGTAAAACTTGGCAGCCACTGAAGAATGTGATATTCAAGAGCAAAAGAACGAGTACTCTGTGCCTTGGTTTTATTGTTGAGCGTCTTTAAAAAAAAGTAATTCGGCACGTGAACTTTATCATCATGAGTTGGGGGAGGGAATGGAGATGCCTGCTGTTAGCTGGAACAAACACGAATTTGTAACACCACAGTCACTGAAGGAGAACTATGGGGGTGGGGGGGGGGAAATGGGTGTTAGCCCTACTTAATGAAAACAACTTTTTGGCAAAAAATCTGATGGAATGGATGTTGAAGGTCGAATAAAAGGCCAAAGAAGAGTGATGAATTAAATTCAGCTGTATTAGATTAGCACAGTTTTTTCACAAATTTTCATAGGGGTGGCCACTTTCGCCGATAAGACATCATCAGTGTATGGGCTGCCACACATTTGAAACCATTGTTGGAGGGCCGCCAGTAGCCCCGCGGGTCTTGCAATGAAAAACACTGGATCAGCACAATAATCTGTAGTCAATGATGTTAGCAAGGATCAAATACAATACAGAAAATTAAAATTTACAGCCCTTGTCAATCCACGACCAGATCACCCCCCCCCCCCCACCATGGCGGTGACGGGGGTTTGTTTGACTATACTTGGACAGTTTACATATAAATTGCCACTGCTGTTAGTCTTGGCTGGGAATCAAATTCAGGTAGCTAAGTTGATAGCACAGCAAGGCTTAAGCACTGCGCCATTGCCCCACCAAATTTAACCAATTAAAATAATCTGGTTTCCTATATTTAACGATGTTAAAAACAGATATATTTTTTTATTTCACCAGGTAAGGCCCACTGAGCTATATTGCTCTTTTTCAGAAGCGACCTGGCCACAAATGATAGCCCACTGAAGTGGCTTATCACGTGGGAATTTATAACAGCCAAACACTTTAAATGCACGTTGATTCTAAATGTGGAGAAAAATCCGGAGGACCCGGAGAAATATCCATGCGACCACGGGGAGAATATTCAAACTCCAAATTTACTTGTTTGTATGGGTATTCCGTAGTTTTCACGTCGCAGTCAGGTTTAGCATGGTCCGCATCTCCGATTAGCGCGGTTGGCTACATACGGTGCAATAGAACTTCAACATACACACACACACCCGTACGTTTAACACAGATCTACCCCCTCTATTTAAGGAACGAAACAGGTGGACTTCTCCACAAATCTGGCTGTCGCCTGATGAAGCTACTTGTAATTACTGGCGAAACGTCGTACTCCGATTGTAAATGTTGTGGCTTGGCTTTCCAATACACAACCGGTGTGCTGTACTAGTAACGAATTGGCCACGTTCTGTTTACGTGACAAACCTTACTCATTGGCTGTGTTGGGTGGTGGCAGGTTTAACGACACATTTATATATTTACGCGATCTAACCCCAAAAGACCTCTGTGTACGTTTAACCGTCGTTGCCCTGCGTGTGTGCGCCTCGCAGTGAAGAAGGCGAAGGCGGCGGATGAGGCGCGGCGCCAGCTCGTGCTGCGCACGCGGGAGGAGTATAAGCGCCAGTCGATCCGCGCCATCGAGAAGGGCTCCGTGGCGTCGCTCACCAACCGCTTCGTGGGCATAGACGTGCAGGACTGCCACGGTGGGGGAGGCGCGAGGCCCGGACCCAAGCCCGTGCCTCCGCCCAGACCCACCAAGCTGCTTCCTGGGTGCGGCGCCGTCCGGCGGCGGTCACTGACACCGCGACCGCACCGCATCGCACGGCACGCGCGGCGCCGGCGCGATTTGCACATAAACGAAAACGCCCCAACGCGTTCGTTAATAATGCCGCTCTAGCGAAGGGTAAAATGTATAATAAGTGATGCATCTGGCGAATGGCCCTTCTCCGCAGCAGAGAGATGTGCCTCGTGTGTGTGTAAGTAGTCAACAGCGCTAAACGGAGGTGCGGAGGAAGGACAACAAACTAAACCCAAAGCAGTGCGAAATAAAAGAGTTTTCAATCGAGATTTAAAAGTGCATAGCTCCAGTGGCTTTATGTATGCCATAAGGCATTTTGTGTTGAACAGTTATCACTTTCCATCTAACACCTCCACACGCTTTCCATTACAAGCTCTGCCCTTATAGCCCTTTCTCAATCCACCGCTGTAAAAACTAGACGTGCTCGCCATTATCATTTTCCGTGTGTTGCAACTAGAGGTCAAGGGTTTCTGCTTGATTGTAAATAAATAAATAACATGTATCCCACTGTCAAGTCCGAAGCATGGTGTATTGGTCATGGGGATGGTTTGACCATACTTCACCATGCTCGTCAATGCATGCTCAGATATCACCACTGATATTAGCCCTGGCTTGGAATCAAATTAAGGTTGCCGGGTTCATAACACAGTGCGCTAACCACTGCGCCGCCACTCCACCCACGTGCTGGCTAATAAGTGAAAACAAAATTGGTTTGTAAACATTTGTTTAAGTTTCTTTATTTTGTTCGCTACACCCGTGTCAAACCATCATGCACGTCATACTCGTTCATTTTCAATTAATTGAAAATATTTAATAGTTGCATGCCAGTGTTAAATTTAAGCAAATAATGCGAAGAAAATTGCGTAGATGATATAATCAGAAACAATACAAACGAGACGATCAAACTTATGGGTGGAGCGATTCATGCCGCCCACCCCAGTGATTTGTCGCTATTCACTTGTCGCGATTCAATGTTCATTTTTTCTTATTACATTGTGGTGAATGGCAGCATATATAGTGGTTTCACGGGTGACATGAAAACATTACATACTATAAATACTCGTCAAAACACGTGAATTCTTACACACTATGATGCATGTCTTGTGAGCTTAAATGTCGATATCAATCGAAGAATTGCATTCCCCTGAGTAAAGATGTGACAGTCCCATTCACTCACCACCATCCCTTCCAGCATTGTTTCCTCCCCAAGCCCATACTTTTCTTAAAAGTCGCTACGATGTCTCCAATCTGCTTCTGTGATCCACGTGTTTATCTTTTTGTCTCTTGGTGTCATTTCTAGCATGCGCCTCTCCAAGCTTCTTTGCGCACTTTTTTCTAACTTTTGTCCCGGTTTTTTCCCCCCCACACTCTGCATCTTTCTGATCCGTCGTACGCGATTACAAATGTGGGAAAAACTAAACGGGAATTGTTTACATGCCTACCAAACGTCGAGCATCATTTGCACCAACTTCACTTCCGGCTTATTTTATGAGTTCCCACAACAAGTCTTGAATTGCACTGATGTTTTGTTTTTTATTTTTGGTTCTTTCGGTAAAGTCACGTAGAAGGGAAACAATCAAATAAAACCACAAGAGAACATGTTCTTGTTGTGGTTTTCACACCTGATGATGATTGCTTGTGTTGCAGTCGAAACGTGACAATTTAATTGTTTTATATTTTAATTATTTTATTGTTTCCCTTCTACGTGGTGACTCTACCGAAATAACCAAGAATATGAATGCCTGCAGTCAACGAAAGCTTTAAATAAAAAGATGTTTTGTTTGTTTGTTTGTTTTTTGGTCGTCCCGCCACAGCAAGAAGCCGGAGCTGGCGTGCCCGACGTCACGTCAGGCCATTGTGACGTGGTTCCGTGAGCGCGAGATCCCGCGCCGGGCCTGCTTCAGGGGAAACACGGATACCGTCGCTCCCTGGTTCCACGGTAAAGGGGGGGGCGAAAGATGGTGATTGGGTTGGGGGGGGGGGGGATGGCCAGGGCGATCTGGTAGGGGTGGTAACGGCAGGGCGTGAGGGCCACGTGGAACGACTTGATGGAGAATCTCTTCTTTGCAGCTTCAGTTAATTATTTTTGTGTGTGGTGTGTGCGTATGTCATTTTTATTTTGCTGTTCATCCTTACGTACATGCATACTCATTCTGGAATGTTGCATGTGGAGTATATGTTGATGCATTGTAGTGTGGTAAACATGGTGTTATGTTTTTTTTTTACCAATGACAATCACCTGGAATGCATCTGATATATCGTCAAATGTTAGAAGCTAAGCAGTGTCGAGCCTGGATAATGCTTGGGGATGGGTGACCACCATGCACACCGGGTATCTGCCGCTGTGGAGCTGTGCTTACATGGTGGTCAGCAGAGGACCGTCCAGCAAAACACATGGTTCCACTGTGCCCTTATTGCTTGCACATTTACACTCCCAGCCTTTACCAACCCACACCGACCAGCGTGCTGAAATATCGTCTATTCTTTCCACGACCCGCACGACATGATGGGGCAGTATACTAATCCAGCAGTGAATTGGTCATGGTTGCTGCCTATGATCCCCCTCTGTGGCTGCACATGCTGGGTGATGATGCCCCGCTCTGTGGCTGCTGCACATTCTGGGCGATGATTATCCCCCTCTGGCTGCTACACATGATGGGTGATGATGATCCTCTGTGGCTGCTGTACATGCTGGGCAATGACGATGACCCCCCTCTGTGGCTGCTGTATATGCTGGGCGATTCTCAGGCATCATCTCGCGCGAGGATGCGGAGGAGCTGCTGTCGGGAACGGCGGAGGGTACGTTCCTGCTGCGTGTGAGCGAGCGCGTCTGGGGCTACGCGCTCTCCTACCGCATGGCACGCTCCACCAAGCACTTCCTGGTGGACGCGGCGGGCGACTCCTACAGCTTCTTCGGCGTCGACCAGATGAAGCACGCCTCCCTGCCCGAGTTGGTCAACTTCCACACGGTGAGCCGATGGCATAGCGGGCCGTCCGCGTTTGTGCAGTTCTTTTGGCGATTGAACCTATTGGTTTCTGTATGGGTGTAATGTGGGGGGGGGGGGGGGGGAGGCTGTATATATCTTCAGACTGTTCATCGATAATTTGTTCATGTGAAACGATGAACAATGAAATGCATGTGCCAAACACGTGGCCACAAATGAGCAAGCTCATTTTTATTGATAAAATTTCGCGTGGTTTGGATCGCAAGTCACTGTTTTACTTGCCGGACATGCATTTTACGCACGTTAATACACATTCGTGCACGTTCATTCGATTTTTATTCCAAATCCAAAGACACTATTGTTATGAGGCTGTGGCAAATGAGTGGGTCCTAAAGAAGCATAACAACGTCCGATATGAACAAAATCCTGCCAGTGGAATTGGCATGTTGTGAATCAATGTAAACTGTTGGTGCACATTTTCAAAACGTCGGAATTTGATGTATGCAATTTGTAGTTATTAATTCAGTGAGTCACAGAGCATTTGTGTCATTTTGCTGCTCAGGTGGAGCCAGTCACGGTGATCGGCGGGGAGATATTGAAAACACCGTGCGGGCAGCCGAAGGGGAAGTTGCCTGACTACGGAAATCTCTTCAGCTGAGTCGTTACGAGACGGCAGTACCTCTAATAGCCTCCGTTACTCCGTACGCTTGTCAAATGTGGCACGGTCCTCTCTCACCCCACTTACACACCATTGAGTTCCGTCACCCACTCTCATTTTAAACTTGCACGTCTGTGACCATAGCCAGAAAACCCAATTCTCACCTGGGTGACTCGATGCCAGCTGTCAAGATGGACATTGAAAAATTAAAGCAGGTGTGTCGCGATGGCTGTGCCCAGACTAATGAGGGCGGGGCCTCTGGTGTCATCGTAGCCTATCTCTGGCCATGCATACACCTGTCCACCGTGCAGCACATTAGCTAAGCTTCAGAACAAAGAACAGCTCGTGGGGCTGTTCGCAGTACTGCATTAGGATGTGATGTAGGTTCGTCTTCTTGTATTCCTTTGGAAAGGAGCCTTAATGTGCCACTGAAAAAAAAATATAATATACTGTATACGTGTATGTAAGCTAGTATTGTACTTGAATTGAAATATGCAGCAATATAATTAAAATGTCATCAATAAAATGGGCAAAAATATGATTAAACGTTAGCTGCCAATGTAGGAAATATACCACAACTGTAAAGACATTGCAAGAGAAATGTAAACATATTGGGCCAACTTGCCATCGTGCCTGATTTTGGACCTAAAAAGTACAAAATTCCCAAAAGAGTGCTGCTTTTTAACCCAAAATGGAATGTTTTTTTTCTTACGCCATGCAACTGGATGGGAATGTCTCCCATGAACCTCTGTGCGAACGAAAAATAGTTTTGCCAAAGGCATTATTTCAAACCGGTCCTCAGGGACCATGCAGTATGTTCATTGTACTCGTCTGACATATTTTGTTCTGAATATGTGTAAATGTTTTCATTCGTAATTAGAAATATTGGCTTTTGTTTTTACACAAACAGAATGTCATATTTTAACCACCCGTTTTACACAGCAAGTAGCTCAATGGCTTTTATGGATAAACTGTGTGAAAATCCCAAGCTTAACTGTACGGTACAGCTTCACATATCCGACTCGCTTGGGCCTGAGAGTATGGGCAGATCTGTAGAATGCTTGGTTATATGAACATCATCTAAAGGAAAAGTCAGTTACACCATGCACAAATATGTTACTGAAGAAAATTAAGCGGAAACTGCTTTAAGCACACGGACATGCGTCACTGTACTATAGAAGCAAGCAAATGTGCTCGGGATTAATTACACATCACTCTGCGTGAAAATATCGTAATTGTTAACATCTATAGAAAATTACTGTTACACCACGTACACAAATACTGCACTGGATGTGGGATATTATTTGGTCAGGGCGGATATGTGATGCTGTACTGTACACGAGTCCGGCCGAGAAAATATTTTCTAGATGTGCACTATCCCATCGGTGGATTAAGTTTAGGAATATTTTTAAAATGGGAAAGTTGAAACAATGTGGCATGGTTTTCTGTTTGTTAATCTCCCCCACCTCTGTCCACCCAGAAATATAAACGGGAACACCACAGTTGGCCGATGGACAGGTTTACGTGTGGTGGAGCAAAGTATGGCTATCCCTACCTCTTCCAAGATGTCTGGCCTGTGAGAGTAGGCCAAATACACTTCCAGAAGGGCTCTCTAGAACTTTCTCTCGTAGAGGCCCCTCCCGTAAGCAGTGCCGTAAAGGAAACAATTGCAGCGCTGCACCTTTATATTTACCTTTTATTCTTGTATTAGGCACTAGTCGAACATTGGCAACATTCATGATCAAATACAAGTGGTGCATCAAAATGTGTTTTCCTAACACCATAAGATGAATTGGTACCTGTAGTAATTGTACGAAACATCTGGTTTCCAAAGAGCAAAATCAGTATCTCTATGAGCTAAAGCATATTTAACAGTAAGATTATTGAGAAAACATGTGCTTTGTATCCAATGTTAATTATCTGCGAATGTATCATCAGTGAAATTTGCATGAGTTGTCTCCTATTATCAGGTTGCTGTTTTTCCAAGAAAACTTGTCAAATCATCACCACCTCCATAGGAATTACTTATTAATTGATCATGCTGCCACCATCAAACCCACTCCCGACATTAGTCTCTAAATGAAATCCGGCTGTTTGTAAGAAAATAAGCCTTAAATGTGGCTGCCCTCGTGTGTACTTGAGAACATATCGTCCGGAGGGCGATTTGGGTTTACATTTAGAGTGATGAGCACAGTGTCTCAGTCCTGTATCTTGGGAACTGATCTTGCCATTGTGTGATGATGATAACATGCATGCAAGTGCCTTGTTCGCCATTGTTGAGTGGATTAACATATTTTGGTTATAATTTTTTTACCTTTCATCAACAGGTGTAATTAAGTGATTAAATGTCAGTTGAACAAATACACAAGGATGTGCCATTGTTAACTTATTTTTGAAAAGTAAGTGCACATTATTGTTTTTAATCTACTTTTTTAATTTTCTCTTTTTGAACTATATTGTAGTACTGCCGAGATGTTGGTTTTTTAAAGCCAGATATTTACATTGCAAGATTCAAGATAAAATTGTCTTTTTGTTCTGATTAGCCATGACCACTGAAGTGACCAAAATGCATTGATAAAGGTCCCAAGGGAACCAATATGGCATGAAGAAAATTCAGGACTGGAATTGTTTAGTTTGCTTCCGACAGATGCTTATTTTCTGAAACGTGATCTTACGTGTACTTTGTATTCTTAACGTCCTTATTCCTTGGATGTTTTGATTCGTTAAAATGACAAAAAAACAACGCCGACAGACTAAAAATGAAAAAAAAAACACGTGTTTGCTTGAGTAACTTCCAGATGTTGTTCTGTTGTGTACGACATTTTGACATCACTTCCGGTGTAGAAAATTAAGTTCCAGTCTGTTTGTTACTAAAACTTTACTTGAGCAAAATTATTATGCATCACTATTGTGCAATGTCAGCTGCAACCCTTGTAGGATTTTATTAGAAATAATGTCTGTTTAGCATATTTACAGAACTATATACTATTTAATATGAATTGCATCTGAAATTACAGACTTTTCTCTGAAAATCGTTGTCATTAACATTTCTCCTTTGTGGAGAATTAAAAAAAAAGTATCAAAAGTTTTGACACTGCATAGTCTTTGAAATGTTCTTAATTGTCGTCTGGCTAACTATCGCTCGAGATATTTGGTTCACAACTTGTACAGTTTGTATGCATCAAGGGAAATATCCAACTTTAATTTCTGTTGTGTGAAACTGCTTTTGGAAGAAATAAAAAAAATATTGTGGCTCGTGTAAATAAAATAAAAATTGCACCCATTCCAAGACTGGCGCTGTCGCAGCTTGGAGGGGTCCAATTTCCGCGATTTTCGAAAAAAGGGTCTGTGCCGTGTTCCCTTTTGTTTTTTTTATTATTTGATTTAATAAAGATATGGACTTTTGGCATGCCTCTTGTTCTAATTGTAGCTGTACTTTTTTATTTTAAGATGTGGCTAGTTTAAGATAATGTACACCACCGTCAGTCCCCCTGCTGGGGGTTGTTTTACTTTACTTCACCTTGGTTCGTAATGTACAGGTTATTGGAGTGGGGAGGGGGGAGGGGGCAAGACTGGTTGGTGTTAGCAGTGACACGGAATTGAACCCACATGGCTGGGTTCATAGTGCAATGTAATAGCCACCGCTCTACCATGCTAATTGCTGTATATGATCTAATGCACACTTAAAAAAATGGGAAACTTTCTTTGCATTTCACATGTTATTTTGTAAGTTTGGTCTTCACACATGATTTAGTGTAAGTTATATTGAGTTTCATATTAAGTGGAGGTGTTGGTATTTTGCCAATACACTATACCGTAGCAGAAGACCACACGAGACATATCCTAACATACTGAAAAGTATCAATTAAAATGAAATGTATAATGATGTAGTCCCAGGCGCATAGTGTTAGAAAATCAGGCTCATTAACAAAAGTACATAGATTTGAATCCTGGGGTTGTCCTTTCAAAATATATAGCTATATTTAGAACTCGGTCATTTATTAAAGTAATTAAGTACAGTATTGCAATGTATTGCCACATGGGCTTTCTACTATTAACATTTTCCTTGAGCATGATTTGGGGTAGAGCTGGGGGACAGTGGTTTGGAAAATGTCCGATGAACCTGCCGACCTGAGTTTAATACCTGGCCATGGCTAACATCGGTGGCCAGTGATATCTGAAACGACCTCTGTACCCCCTTCGACAAACCACCATGATCAGCGCAGTGAAGTATGGAAAAAAAACATTCCTCTGACATGGCCTGAGGCCTTAATTCTGCATTTTATTGACACGTTCTTGTAGTTTGTTTTACTTAGTGATAGAATATAAACTTGAACTACCTATGACTTGATCAAGTGAGCAAGATTTGCTCTCATAAGCCGATGGTTCTTGAGTTATCTGAATGTCAGGGCAGGAACCTTGCTGCAGTTTCAGCTTCACCGAGTCACATCATTAAGTGGTGGGTCTTGTAAATCAACACCACTGATGTATACAGTTACACATGCTGAGCAAGTCCTATTTCCTGAAAGCCAAGGCGCACTCAAGGGAGATGTAAAACATCATAGGTTTGCGTCGTGAAAAGTGGAGGCTCAAGGCTGTATCGTGTAGAGTTGTGAGACCCCTAGTGTAGCACAAGGACCAAAAGCAGATTATTCTGTATCGAGAGTGCCATCCACAAGCACAGAGCCTGGTAGCAACAGCCCAGAGTGCCACCCACCACCACACCGTGACAATTTAACAGTACGTTTAACGACCACAATAAATACAGCATTTCTGTGGATTTTAATAGTTTATTGTTTGGTAGTGAAACAGAACCTAGTTTGTCTATTTTTATATTGCTCACAATCCACCAAGACTGAAATTTTTTTGTGCCGCTGTACTCCATTAAACAGTCCCAGCACTGCAGATGGCTCTTTGCCTACCTCTGGATTTCCAGAATTTTAAAAAATACTTCTCATTCACTGTATCCTAAATGCATCTATTTTTTTTAAATCTGAAGACTTTATGCCTTTGAATGGGAAAACTTTTAAATATTTTGTTTTACATTTTCTATAAAGTTTTATTGTTTTCTACGATTCAACGGCACCTACTTTGGGCAAAAAGTGTATTTGGTGTTAAAATGTATTGTGCTGTCACTAAAGGAAAAGGAAACTCAAAGCTTTAAAACCAGTCCAGAGTTCACCTGCTTAAATGTTGCTGTTAAACATTGGTTCCGAAAGCGCATAGACTTAATGACTATAACAAAAAGAATAATAAAACAATACAATTTTATTTACGTGGAATTAGTGTATTAACAGTAGGCAATCCAGTGCTGATGAATCGAACAAAGTTCAACCTAAATTTTGATTTAAAGCTTTCGTGACTGCAGGGGATTCATATTATTGGTTCTTTCGGTGTGGTTTTCACACCTGATGGTGATTGCTTGTGTTGCAGTCGAAACGTCGTGAGAATTTTATTGTTTTATGTTTTTATTATTTTATTGTTTCCCTTTCTACGTGACTACCGATACCGAAAGAACCAAGAATACAAAGTACAACCTGGTCCAGTGTTTGCCTGTGTGAAAAGCTTATCATGATGCCCAGCCATTTTCTAATCCCAGTGGCATCGCGTGGTTGGCATCGGCCCACCTGTCCAATATCCTCATCACATCTGGCTGCCTGCACACCTCGATAGCTAAGCCACTGCTGTATCCGTTCCTGGGAGGTCTCCCAAGCCATAACCATCGCACGTTTTTGTTATTCAACTACACATTTAGCTTCTAGACACCAACTGATTGTCTGAGTTGCACATGACCGAGAGCCATATCTTAGGCTTCAAATACCATTGGGGTGAAGATGTAGTGAGGGAAAAAAAGTATTTGATCCCTTGTTGATTTTGTACGTTTGCTCACTGACAAAGAAATGATCAGTCTATAATTTTAATGGTAGGTTTATTTGAACAGTGAGAGACAGAATAACAACAATAAAATCCAGAAAAACGCATGTCAAAAATGTTATAAATTGATTTGCATTTTAATGAGGGAAATAAGTATTTGACCCCTCTGCAAAACATGACTTAGTACTTGGTGGCAAAACCCTTGTTGGCAATCACAGAGGTCAGACGTTTCCTGTAGTTAGCCACCAGGTTTGCACACATCTCAGGAGTGATTTTGTCCCACTCCTCTTTGCAGAACTTCTCCAAGTCATTAAGGTTTCGAGGCTGACGTTTGGCAACTCGAACCTTCAGCTCCCTCCACAGATTTTCTATGGGATTAAGGTCTGGAGACTGGCTAGGCCACTCCAGGACTTTAATGTGCTTCTTCTTGAGCCACTTCTTTGTTGCCTTGGCCATGTGTTTTGGGTCATTGTCATGCTGGAATACCCATCCACGACCCATTTTCAATGCCACGGCTGAGGGAAGAAGGTTCTCACCCAAGATTTTACGATACATGGCCCCGTCCATCGTCCCTTTGATGCGGTGAAGTTGTCCTGTCCCCTTAGCAGAAAAACACCCCCAAAGCATGTTTCCACCTCCATGTTTGACGGTGGGGATGGTGTTCTTGGGGTCATAGGCAGCATTCCTCCTCCTCCTCCTCCAAACACGGCAAGTTGAGTTGATGCCAAAGAGCTCCATTTTGGTCTCATCTGACCACAACACTTTCACCCAGTTGTCCTCTGAATCATTCAGATGTTCATTGGCAAACTTCAGACGGGCATGTATGTGCTTTCTTGAGCAGGGGACCTTGCGGGCGCTATCGGATTTCAGTCCTTCACGGCGTAGTGTTACCAATTGTTTTCTTGGTGACTATGGTCTCAGCTGCCTTGAGATCATTGACAAGATCCTCCCGTGTAGTACTGGGCTGATTCCTCACCGTTCTCATGATCATTGCAACTCCACGAGGTGAGATCTTGCATGGAGCCCCAGGCCGAGGGAGATTGACAGTTCTTTTGTGTTTCTTCCATTTGCGAATAATCGCACCAACTGTTGTCACCTTCTCACCAAGCTGCTTGGTGGTCTTGTAGCCCATTCCAGCCTTGTGTAGGTCTACAATCTTGTCCCTGACATCCTTGGAGAGCTCTTTGGTCTTGGCTATGGTGGAGAGTTTGGAAAATGATTTATTGTTTGCTTCTGTGACAGGTGTCTTTTATACAGGTAACAAGCTGAGATTAGGAGCACTCCCTTTAAGAGTGTGCTCCTAATCTCAGCTCGTTACCTGTATAAGACACCTGGGAGCCAGAAATCTTTCTGATTGAGAGGGTGTCAAATACTTATTTCCCTCATTAAAATGCAAATCAATTTATAACATTTTTGACATGCGTTTTTCTGAATTTTGTTGTTATTCTGTCTCTCACTGTTCAAATAAACCTACCATTAAAATTATAGACTGATCATTTCTTTGTCAGTGGGCAAACGTACAAAATCAGCAGGGGATCAAATACTTTTTTCCCTCACTGTACTTGTCACTTATGCCAACATTTCACACCAATCACTGGCGATTGAAGGTACCCACCCACCTGACATGGGGAATGCATGACTCACACCACCCCAAACCTCTCCCAACTTCCCAGGGGTTGCGGAAATGAAGCACTGGATACTGTATTTATTGCTGTGAAATATTAGTTCACAGGGCCCTTTGGCTGATACAACTGTTATTTTATTTTATGGTGTTGTAAAAGACCCGTGTCTGCTCTCGTGTCCATTTACGAAGTTGTTTTGTGTTGCATAAAGACCTCATTGCGCATGTAACAATGTAATACTCTGTGATAGTGAAGTTGTAATACGAATCAAAATTCAACAAGTGATTCTTTGCTCTCATTTGTATGGTCTGTCTCATCAGTACTTTTATCATCAGTAGTCACGCCTTGTCTTGTGCACTGCGTCTTCCCCTGTAGGTCTTACTATTCTGTATGTTCCATGTTGTCCATACTGTTTTGTCTCGTTTGTATCTCTCATATGTAAACTTTTATTCGTACTCACTGTCGTGTCAATTCTCCCTTGTACTGTTTGTTCTGTAATGTCTCTGTGTATTGTATCTTGTCTCTACTGTGTCATGTGTACAAGTGTCTAGATTGTTTGTCCCTGTCTCATCTGAAATCTTTCCTGAGTAATTGTCAATCTTGACTTAAAAGCTTTCGTGACTGCAGGAATTCATATTCTTTGGGGTCTTTCGGTAAAGTCACATGGATAGGTTCAAAGAAAATAACAAAAACTACGACGTTTCGATCGCAACCTGATGACGACCGCTTGTGTTGCGATCAAAACGTCGTCGTTTTTGTTACTTTCTTTGAACCTATCTACGTGACTTTACCGAAAGACCCAAATAATTTAATTGTCTATCGTTTGTAGTCTTCATTCTATGAGCCCATTAACCTCAAGGTTCATGTGCAGCCCTTTGTCAATCCACTGCTGGATGAGGGCCTCCCCACA